GTTTGAAACTAAGTTATTTTTTATTTTCTTTAAATTGTGTATTACATTTTTGCTAATTTATACTAAATRAAGTTATTTTTTTGAAAACTAAAACACGCTACTGCGAGCCGCCATAATATCTTGAAATGTGATTTCAAAGCTTCCAATAAATAACCTTTGCATTTACAACTGAAAAACCCCTTAATAAAATTTTCAGCACTTTTAACAAAGTGTTAATAGTGTGGGCGCCTAAAGGTATGCTCAATTCTTAAATATATGTTTCATATGTATAAATAATGAARTATAAACTTCAATTTCTACTTTTAGGCGCATTTCAAATACTTCCCCTGATTTTTGCCTTTCCCTAATTCAAAATATCGACCAAAAGCGTAAAATTAAACGTTAAATTMCAATGCACTCAATATATTACTACTCCGCAATATTTGCCATGCTATTCTAACCTCAAAACCCCCAAATTGCTCAAACCGCGCGCAATGCCTAACCACAACTCATTTCTAACTGTTTTTGCCCGCACACGCACAATCCTCAAACACACAAGCTGACCCCTGCTGCCAAAAACAAAGTATTATACAAGGAATTAGCACTAAACAAGTCATATCTTCCAAGTCCTAAGTCCAAGTCTCTGCAAAGGTGGCTTTATGTTGAAAATAAAGCGTTTAAAATTTTTTGTTTATTATTTTTCTTTTCTTTTTTTAGTTTCGAATTCGGCCTCGTCAGAAGTAGTGTATGGAAATAATACTGCAACAATAATGCAAAATGCGGGGTTAAGAAATTCGGAAAACGAAGGTAAACGACTATTTAGAAATAAATGTTAGCGGCAAAATAAAGTTGACTTTGCGGTTAGAAACACCATTTGCCTCAAAGTTCACTTTATGCACGCTATAATTTTGCGCCATAATATTGTGCTATAATGTTGTGCTATAATTATATGAAAGTGAAAAGTTTTGAAAAAAAATAGTTTTGTAAATAACGAAAATGTACAAAATGCTGTGTAAAGCAAGCCAAAAAGTCCGTTTGCAGATCTTTTCGTTCAATAATTGCATTAAGTATGTTTAAATATAATTTTGAGGTTATATGTTTTATTTTTATGAATTTTTTTATAATCTAAATTGTGTATATTTCTTTTTACAATTTAAATTTGCATAAATTTATTTACATTTCATCTCTAGCAACATATGTATATACATTTTTAAGCTCGCACTTTAGCCACCTGCCTTCAGCTCCTCATTAATGCTTCTTATGTTCACCAGCAGAATTATTTTTTAATTTGAACTTTTTATTTCCAATTTTTCCACTTTTTTTCAATTTTGCATTGCGTAGCATTTGTTGTTCATAAGTCACGTGGCGTTACAACCCTATCGTCGTTGCACTCACAACAACAACAACAACACAATCAACAGCAACARGAGCCATTGGTTCCCGCACGTTTGCGTCAATCGAAAGAAAAATCAAATATCGAGACTAAGGCTGATGAAAGAGGTTTGTAAATAACTAACATATGTACCGTAAGAACTAACGTGCCGTTGGCCATACATACATACAAATGTAGCTACAGGCACGTATGTATGTGCATGATTGTATGMTTGTATGTGATAAACAATTTTTGAAAAATTCTAATATTTTAACGCTTTTTAAGCTAGGCTTTCAAAAACGCTTCACTCTCGTTGATTTTCAAAACTGAAATTTATCTTTTAGTTGTTAATATTTTGTTTTTATTTTGACTATGTTTATTTTTTTCTGACTTTTTTTATTTTTAAGACTTTTTTCAAATGAAATTTTAAAAATTTGATTCAAAAATATTTTCTAGCAAATAATTTAATTTATTTTTTTTTTTGTATTAAATTTTCATATAAGTAAAAATAAAAATAAAGTTTCATATAAGTATGCATTTTTCAGATTTTTTTAAATTTTCGATTCAAATATATTTTTCCGGCTTTGGTTTATTATTCACTATTCCGTTCAGTTTGTATTTACAGTTTAATACTTTGGAAAAGAATTGCTTTTTAATAGATTTTGCTTGCTAGAAAAGAATTTCTCTACTTTCTTCATTGTTTTTTCAATTTCGTAATTGTAGTTTCGAGCGGAGTCTTTTTATTCCATCTATTTTYAAATATTTCTTGCTTTAGAAATACTTAAATTTTCATTTAAAAATTAACAGCATATAGCATCTATATAGCATATCTATACAATTTAACTCAAAAAAATGTATTATTTAAAGCTAGTTGATAATAATATAAAGGTGTGTTTGTAATA